CAAGTGCTGGGATTAAAGGTATGTGTCACCATCACCTGGATATTTTAGAAATACTTTTTTTTTTTTTTTAGTTTTTCGAGACAGGGTTTCTCTGTAGCTTTGGAGCCTGTCCTGGCACTAGCTCTTGTAGACCAGGCTGGCCTCGAACTCCCAGAGATCCGCCTGCCTCTGCCTCCCGAGTGCTGGGATTAAAGGCGTGCGCCACCACCGTCCGGCTAGAAATACTTTTAATAGTATGTGTGTTTGTGTTTGTGCATGTGCTTGCATGTTTTGCACTTGTCATAGCACATATGTGGAGGTCAGAGGACAACTTTCAGGGGTTGGTTCTCTCCTTCCATGGCGGGATTTGGGAGTTTCAGTTTTTCAGGTCTGTATGGCAAGTATTTTTACCCACTGAGGCATCTCATTGATCTAGAATGTCTGATTTTAAAAGTTGCTGTTTGAGCTGAGTGTGATGGCATACTATAGAGGCAGAAGCAGGTGGATCTCTGTGAATCTGAGTCCAGCCTGATTTACATAGTGAGTTTCGGATTAGCCAGGGCTACATAGTGAGATCCTGTCTGGAAAAAAAAAAAAAAAGGCTTAAGTTGATGCCTTAAATTTTTTCTTGGGAGTAGGCCAGAATTTCCAATAATTTTTGAAATGGTCCTTCTTCTTCTTGACCCAAGCTTACTTCTGCTCTTTTGTATTATATATTGATGTAAAGTGTCATTCTCATCATTTACAATTATAAAATCAAAATATTGATAGACTCTGAAAAGTTTTGAAGGTTTTCTGTATCTTGCAGTATCATATATTCAGCCAAAAATTAATTCCTTATGGAAAAATAAGGCTATTACTTCATTAGCATGATGATTTTGTATTCATCTTTAATAAATCATAAATTATGTATTTAACCAAAAATGATTTAAAAATAACTTTTCTTATGATTTATTCTCAATAAATGTTTGATTTGTATATTTATTTTATATACTAACACATTAGGGTCATCTAAAATTTTCTTAGGTGAATAGGGGTTACACGTAGTTAAGAGCATTTGTTGCTCTTCCAAAGAACCTAGACTGCCTACAACTCCAGATCCAGGGAATCTAGTTCCGTCTCTGACCTCTGGGGGCACTGTGCTCACATGGCATATGAACACACACGCAAACAATTTTAAAGCTTTTAAAAATAATTTTATTATTATTATTTTTTTTATGCCCTGACTGCAGTTTCCCTCCCTCCTCTCTCCCCGTACTTCCCCTATACCTCCCCTTTGCCCCTTCCATCCATCCACTCCTTCTCCTTTTCTATTTAGAAGGCAGGCCTCCTTTGGATGTCAACCAAACATGTTACATCAAGTTGCAGTAAGATGAGGCACCTCCCTCATATTAAGGCTGAACAAAGCAGCCCAATATATGAGGAGTAGGGTCCCAAAAGCCATCAAGAGTCATAGACAGATCCTGTTCCCACTGTTAGGAGTCCCACAAGAGGACCAAGCTTCACAACTATAACATATATGCAGAGTGTCTACATCAGTCCCATGCAGGCTCCCTGGTTGTTGGTTCAGTCTCTGTGAGGCCCTATAAGCCCAGGTTAGTTGATTCTGTGGGTTTTCTTATGGTGTCCTTGACCCCTCTGGCTCCTACAATCCTTTCTCCCCCTATTTTGCAGGATTCCCTGAGCTCTGCCTAATGTTTGGCTGTGGCTCTCTGCATCTGTTTCCATCAGTTAGTTGGTGAAGTCTCTCTGATGACAGTTGGGCTAGGCAACAGTCTATGAGTATAGCAGAATATCATTAGGTATCATTCTGAGGACTTTCTTGATGCCAGTGGTGTTTGGTTCTATCCCAGGGTTGGGCTCCCTCTCATGGCAAGGGTCTCAGACTAGACCAGTTACTGGTTGGTCACTCCCACAATTTCTGCACCATCTTTACCCCAGCACATCTTGTAGTCAGGACAAATTGTAGGTTGAAGACTATGTGGCTGGCTTGGTGTCCCAGTCCCTCCAATGGAAGTCTTGCCTGGTTAGAAGAGACGGCCAGTTCAGACTATGTATGCCCAATAGCTAGGCGTCTTAGTTGGGGCCACCTTGTAGATTCCTGGGAGTTTCCATTGCACTAGGTTTCTGCCTCATCCCAAATGCACCCTTTTTCCAGTTGTCTCTTCCAGTACTCATCCCCCACCCCCACCTGATCCTTTCTGGTCCCATCCCCACTGTGCCCTTGAAATCTATTCTATTTCCCCCTCCCAGGGAGATCCAAGCGTTCCCTTTGAGCTCTCTTTGTTACTTAGCTTCTTTGGGTCTGTGGGTTGTAGCATGGTTATCCTTTACAGCTAAAACACACTTTTAAGCGTGCATTTACCATGTGTCTTAGGGTTTCTATTGCTGCGATGAAACACCATGACCAAAAAGCAAGTTGGGGAGAAAGGGTTTAATGGACTTCCATTTCAGCATTGCTGTCCATCACTCAAACAGGGCAGATTCCTGGAGGCAGGAGCTGATGCAGATGCCACTGAGGGGAGCTGCTTACTGGCTTGCTTCCCCTGGCGTGCTCAGCCTGCTTTCTTACAGAACCCAGGACCACTAGCCCAGGGATGGTACCACCCTCAATGGACTGGGCCCTCTCTCATGGATCAGTAATTGAGAAAATGCCTTACAGCTGGATCTCAAGGAGGCATTTCCTCAGCTGAGGTCCCTGCCTCTCTGATGATTCTAGCTTATATCAAGTTGGCATACAAAACCAACCAATACACCATGTTTTTCTTTCTGGGTCTGGGTTACTTCATTCAGGATGACTGTTTTCTAGTTTCATCCATTTGCCTGCAAATTTTATTGTTTTTTTAACAGCTGATTAATACTCTGTTGTATAAATGTACCATGTTTTTTTTAATCCAGTCTTTGGTTGAGGGTCATATAGGTTGTTTCCAGCTTCTGGCTATTATGAATAAAACTGTTATGGACATAGTTGAGCAAGTGGCCTTGTGGTGTGGTGGAATGTCCTTTGGATATATGCCCAGGTATGGTATAGCTGGATCTTCAGGTAGATAGATTCCCAATTTTCTGAGAAACTGCCATATTGATTTCCAAAGTAGCTGTACAAGTTTGCACTCCCACTAGCAGTGGAAGAATGTCCTTCTTACACATCCTTTCCAACATGAGCTATCAATTATGTCTTTGATCTTAGCCATTTTGACAGGTGTAAGAAGAAATCTCAGAGTACTTTTGATTTGCATATCTCTGTTTAAAATGCATGTTGTCTTATCATAAAAGTTGATTTCTTGTATACAAATGTTTGTCTTCAAAACATTTTAGATACAAGATTGTTCTCTGAAAAACAGTCGACTTGCAGAACTATATTGTTCTACACATAGAAATGTGCTTACTGCCCTTAAAGACATGAACTCAGTGTATCATTCAAATATTCATTAGGAGTGTTACCCAGATGTGTACCTTTTGCTTGGCTTTGATTTTGTTAATTCACTATGCAAGAAACTTAGAAAAGCCATTGTTTTCCTACAATTCCAGAGTTTACTAAATAGCGATAAATCCACAAGCTTCAGTGGTTTCAGTGACTGATTTCCCAGACAATCCCCCCAACCTTGGTGATGTGGCAGAGACCAATGCACATTCTTTAAATCTGATCTTAATTACTAATATTAAATTGAATTTCACACATCTCGCAGCATACAGTATCTATGCATATATGTGGTTTACAGAATTATAAGATAGGCTATAGCAGAGTTGCAAACGTTTCAAGAGTAGGTTGATAGAAATGCTATCTGTGTAGATAAGATAACAAAAAAAGCAGATGGCTTCTGGTCTGGGATAGAACTGGGAGGGAGCTGCTACTGAGACCTACTAGAGAGCCTGGCTAAAAGTAAGGCTACAGAGTGGAATCCTGCTGATGGAGCAGAACCAGTCAGAACAAGAAAGATGTGTTCCTGTGAGTGGGCAAACGGGTGGACAGAGAGACACTTGAGTACACCAAGTCAACATCTGGGGATGGAACTGAGGCCAATCTAGAGCTCCAGGAACAGACAAGTGTTCTCTGCCTGTCAGTCATTGCCACACAATGGGTGTCAGACCAGAGCAGAGCTAGGCATTCATCACTTGGTTGGATCCAGGGGAGGGAGTTCCGGTCTTTCTTGGTGTTCTGTGTCTGATAAGTTCTTAGACGTGTTTCTTAATATTCCTATATGCCACACAGTATTGATTCGCCCTGATAAACTGATAGGGTGGCACCATTTTTACTCCCAAGAATAAGTCGTTCATCTGTCTTTGCCATGTGACAGACAGGTGGTGTTGTGGGTCCACCCAGGGTCAACCTGGGTAACTTAGCAAGAATAAAGAGAAGAAATAAAGCCTGGTGACAGAGCTCAGTGGAAGTGTCTTTCTAGCATGTGTGAGACCCTGGTTTCAATCTTTAGTGTTGAAGAGAAAAAAGTTGTTTTATTTGACTGATGAGAGAACCAGGAAGATGTTAAGATAAACTACAGTGAAAATGTAGGGTATGAATATTTATAGACTATTCAGTAAAGAAATATTAAAGACAGAGGCAAGAAGATTGAAAGTTCAAGGCCAGCCAGACTACATAACAAGACACTAGCACAAAAAAGAAATATTAAGATTTCTGAGTGACTATAAGTTGGGCAATGTGCCACAGCCTTTGGAGTTGTCTTTCCTCTCCACTGGATAAAATCCACGTTAGCCTCCGCTTTTGGAGATTAGGATGTAAGCCAGAGCTGTGCTGCGATATCACCCAGCAGTTTCTCATGATTATTTTTCTGACAAATGTAGTCATCTATAAGCTTGTTTGCCATGAAGTGAGGCCTGTTTCCCAGGATCTGAAACTGTCTTTATAATGAGGGTAAATGCAGTGAGTCCTAAAACCTAGTCGTGTGTGTAAGAGGTAGACTTTCGGAGGTTTCAGAAATGGAGTTCCAAGTTTCTTCAACACTTGTCAGGATGGGATAGTATCAGCACGGAAATCCTCATTCTGGCCTCTGGCTTCCTTACAGAGATCCCATGGAATTGTAGTTGGCACTGCTCTGCAATGTCTGTCCATGAGAGGGAAAACGAAGACGAGCAAAGTGGATACGGTAGGTAAACCCAGAATTTGACGTCTGTACATCCTTACTGTTGCCTCTGAAAAGTGTGTGTGTGCATATTGCTGCACACAAATGTATCTGACAGACTCAGCCAGCTGTCCAATCAAAGTAGCAGCCTACCAAGAAAATGACCAAGAAAGGAAATATGTTTTGCAGAAGAACATACTTCATGATTCTAAGCACACAGTCCCCAGTTTTACTATATGAGAGTTCTAATTTAAGTAGTTGAAAGTGGACCAAGGGGATTCTTAGAGAGCCAGAAAAGCTTCCAGGTGAACCCAGTACAATTAAGAAGCAGAATGGCCTCTCTCTGAGGGAAAAAAAAATCCTATGGAGACATAGCCTGGTAGTTAGTAAAAGTTAAAGGCTTTGCAACAGTCAACCTTCAGCCTAAATTCTGGGTCACCTGGTAAATACGCAGTCTAACAAGACCTTGAGAGTTCTTTTGTGTGCTGTCTAAATAAATGCAGGCATTTTCCCTTCAGTATACTCCCACATCTTACTGCATCCACCCGACACACCCCCAAACCCTATATGCTTACGTGTGTCTCTGCACTTGTTTTTCCTACTAGGATTAGGAGTGTGGAAATGGTCAGGATGATACTTGCTCCCTCTGACAACACTAAGACATAAAGAGGGCCTCCTGAGCCCTGTCAAAAATTCAAGATTCCCTAAATACTATAGTTTAATGAGTATTTAAGTGGTGTTTAAATTTATTTGAGTGTTTACTTGAGATTAAGTGAAATTTGAAGGAGGGTTACATGAAAATACTATATTATATTATCTAAGAGTTTTATGAATTCAGTATCCATGGAGACCTGAAACCAAACCCCACAGATTATATATATATGTAATCTTAACGGACTCAACATTTTTTACAGTGTGTAACACATCTTGTTTTCATGTGATGATAATACCAGGTGTTGTAGTTAGCAGATTCATTCTGACACAAAGTCCTTTAAAGCCTGGGACTCTGTCTTCCTCAGCTTTCCCACCCCACCCAGCTGGATCATTCTAGCTTCTGCACAATGGAAGCTCAGTGATGATTATTAATTTAAATTACTGGACAATTTTGTTGGAACTTCTTCTCTCCTAACACAGTCAACACTGAGGCTTCTGTGATACTCAGCGATATGGGGCTTTCATCCCAGAGCAGCAGCTGCCAGCTCGTAGTCCACTGATCCATCTAGTCCTTATACTGCCTCCACCTAGACAGTAGTGGGCCCCACAAGCTGAAGGCTCAGCTCGGCTGTCCCCACTTAAAGGCAGTCACAAGCCCAGGCCTCTGGAGCTTCTGATGATCTATAAATGGTTTTGGTTGTGGTTTTTTTTTTTTTATGAGCACCCCTCCCCTAACACGCACACAGACTTGATTACTTCGTTAGAACATTACAATTTATGAAAACATCATGCTTAAATTTACTGCTTAATATAAAGATTATCTTAAAGTATACAAAAAGAGCCAGACTGTGGTGAGCCCACAAGTATTATACAGTAAATGTACAGCTGATGGCTCTACTGGACTGTCCATGGAAAGTGCATATGCACACATCCACCTGGAGTAGCCCATGTTTGCAGAGCTGCAGGGACACCTGACTTTGGGTAAATCACTGTATGTTCTATAAAAATTTGTGAAATCATGGCATTCTCCCTTCTATAGTATCCCAGCAGTGTATAAACTGACTTTTCCTGTAAGGCATCCAGATACCTCCCCCTGTGATACCTCCCCTCCATGAAGCCACGGTGTGAAAAGGATTCAGTCAGTCAGGTTCTTGTTCTCATAGAAAAAATCTACAATAGTCCCCCACAAACCTTCGTTATTGACAGTGCTCACTGATGAGAAAGGAGCCTCATACAGGAGGCAATGTGTCTGCTCTAACAGCAGACTCGGGAAGGTGGAATCTACCGGTCTGCTCTGACTGAACAGGCTACTAATATTCTGTATTTACCCTTCACCTTGGTTTCAACTAACATAGGATCATAGCCCAGGAAATTAACTGTTGAAACAGGAAAAAGGCCTGATTTGCTGAAACTAGAGAAAAATTTTCACTTGGGCACTCTGCTGAAGTCAAAAGCAAGGTCCCCAGAAGAGATTCCTTTTAACTCAGCCAGCTCGATGCTAAAGCAAATCAAGCCCACTGGTCAGTAGAACCAAGGCAGGAGATGCCTTGCCCCTCTGAGATGTAAAGATCCATGGTTTCTTGTGATTCTGTGAACATCCATGCTTGATACTATAGTTACCGCCTATGGGATTGCTAACTTGTCTGCACACCTACATAAACTGAAAGCTTTGTGGAGATTACCCCCTGTGCTTTATACCCTTATGCTTTTTCTTCTTCTTCTTCTTCTCCCTTCTTTCCTCTTTCCCCAAGGAATAAAGAAACTTGCAGGAAAGTTCGTCAGTTAGTTCTACCCCTCATATTCCATTCACAAGCCAGTTTTCGCTTGTGGAAGAAATTTCATTCTGAACCTTGAGGGAGTCAGTCCTGTGACTGGTACTCATTAGCTCCTGATACCAGATGAACACACACACACACACACACACACACACACACACACACTTACAAACACATGGCAAGTATAATCTCAGCCCCGGCATCCATCTTTGAAAACCCACCTCCCCAAGGAGGGTAAAGGAAGTCCACCAAACCTTGACCCCCCTCCCCAGGAAAGGTCATGACCACTCCCACAGGCTCTTTAAACTGCTCCCCAAACTAAACACGTGGTCTTGCCTCTTCCTCTTCGATTGTCTCATTGGCTTTCCGTTTCTCCCTTGGACCCACCCGAAATTGCAGATGTCCAATTAAACCTGGATGTCTTTTAATTTAGTCTGATAGGGTTTATTTGCATCGGCAGAAAGGCTCGTTCTTAGGAATTATTCCAAACAACAAGGTCTAGAAAAACCATAAGAACAGGAACACCGAGCCTGTGGAGTTGAAATTATACTACCTTCCTAACCCATGGATGCGTTCTCGTTCACCTCCCTTCTGGCCTCTACAGCTTCCATGAGCTCTGAACCCTGATCCGTGAGGTTTTATGGACGTTTATTGCGTGTGCATGATTACTACTAGACTGTATGTATGGAGACCCCAACAAGGCCTGTCTAGACTCTACTCAGCCTCTCTGTGCAGGAGTCCTGCCTCCAGAGTAAAGAAGGTCTTTTTTATTTTATTTTATTTTATTGAGCTCTACATTTTTCTCTGCTTTCCTCCCCGTCTCCCCATTTTCCTTCCCATTTTTCTCTTCTATGAGGTTTAGTGTGGCTGGCTAATAAAGAAGTTCTTATTACTTATCATTAGATAAGAGTCAAGGAATTTCTTTATGGAAAGCCCTGAAAAGTTTGTGCACCCCGATAAGCCTCTCTTCTGGGGCAAAAATCCGAATCAGACCAAATTAGAAAAAGCCCAGGTTTATGGATACAACTGCTCCCAGATACTTTCCAGCATTCCAGAGAGGAAAGAAAGACCGGAATTCCACATGTTTGTTTTCTGGGGGGCAGTTTAAATAGCCTGTGGGAGTAGTCCTGAGCATCTCTGGGGAAGGGTCACCATTTGGCGGGCTTTCTCAGGGGCAGAGTCTGGACTGATGCAACTCCCAGGGGAGGGGGCTCGGATGGAACTTCCACCCACACATTCCAGACTCTTTGGATATATGGATGCCAGGGTTTGGGGTGAGGCCTTTACCCAAACAAGCCCTAAGATCAAAAGGTAGTAGATGATTAGAGTTTCCTGACCTGTATTAGAGAAGAGAAATGCCAATATTGTGGGCTGCCTCAGGGAGGGAGTCAGGAGCCAGGAGCCATAGGTAAAAACGCAGCCACAGACACATGATAGTCTTACAGCAACTGTAGGTGAAAAGTCTCAGTTACCCTAAGACAAGATGTGGAGCTGACCAGATTCAGTAGTTGACTGTGGGACATAATCAGGGCAGCACTTTTGAGGGATTAATGTATGGATTCCTCTAGAGATACTTGTTTTGTTGTCTCTAGAAAGCTGAAACACTTGAATCTTTTTTCCTACTTCTCTCTTCTTCTTCTTCTTCTTCTTCTTCTTCTTCTTCTTCTTCTTCTTCTTCTTCTTCTTCTTCTTCTTCTTCTTCTTCTTCTTCTTCTCCTCCTCCTCCTCCTCCTCCTCCTCCTCCTCCTCCTCCTCCTCCTCCTCCTCCTCCTCTTCTTCTTCTTCTTCTTCTTCTTCTTCTTCTTCTTTTTCGTCTTCTTCTTCTCCTCCTCCTCCTTCTTCTCCTCCTCCTCCTTCTGTTTAATTGTGTGTGAGAGAGTTAGAATTTCATGGAGCCCAGGTTAGCCTCATATTCATTATATAACTGAGCATAGCTGTGAACTTCTGATTGTCTGTCTCCATTTCCTGAGTGTGTGCCACTATGCCTGGTTTTATGTGGTGTTAGGGACCAAACTCAGTGCCTCATGAATACTGGCCAAATAACTGAGTTATAGTCCTAGCCCTTTTTGTGTTAGGAGGTACCTTGAGTCAAGCAAGGCCTTATTATATAGCTCAGGCTTCCCTCTAACCAGATATCCTCCTGCCTCAGCTAAGATTACAAGTATGCACCACCACCTCACCACTGCCTGTCTATAACATCCCATTTTTTTGTTTACTTTTTATTTATTTTGAGACAGGATCGTTTTGAACTCAGTATGTAGAGTAGTTTTGAACTCAATATGTAGGTGAAGAGGCCCTTGAATAGAATTCTGATCTTTTGGCCTGCATTTCATCAATCATACCTGGTTGATGTAGAACTGGGGCTCAGACAGAGAGCTTTTTTTTTTTACTTTATTTTTATGTGAATTGGTGTGGAGGTATCAGATCCCCTGGAACTGGGGGTACAGAAGGTTGTAAACTGCCATGTAGGTGCTGGGAATTGAACCCGGGTCTTCTGGAGGAACAGGCAGTGTCCTTAACCTCTGAGCCATCTCCCCAGCCCCAAGAGAGCTTCTTACCTGTGAGGTGTACACTCTACTAACCAAGATGCATTTCCAGCACCCAAAATTGTCTCACAACAGAGATCCTAAGAAGACAGTGTGAGGAGCTAGTGAAGTGTTCACTAGCTTGCATCACCGCAGGCTAGCCTGTGAGGGGCAGGCTTCTGACCATTCCTCTCCTTTTTCTTTCAGAAGAAAGAATTTTGATGGCCAACGATAGAAACTACAACTCTGTTTTTGACTATCCGGTAAGTCTCCTGTCCCTGAGTATTTCAGAAGTGGTTACTGTTCCATGCATTCTCCTTTTGAGAGGAAGAGTTTATTATTGATGTAGAAACTATAGCCTAAATTCCAACTTCAGCCCTCTGTAATGAATGGCACAATGAAAGCTCAGAAGCCAAAATTAAGCCAAGAGAATATGTCTCAATTCTAGCTTTCCACACAAATACTTCCCCAGTTCTCTTTGTCTCACTTAGACAGTGGTGACAAAACATGCGTGTTGGCTCCATTGCTCCCCAGCAGTGTTGTTTCCCACTTTATATCAGTCAGCCTCCTGCTGGTGAACATTTAAAACGCTTCCAGTATTTTTCTATAATAAATGGTCCTGAGTGAACTGCATTCTGCGTATCAGTTGGCACATCTCTTTTTGTATATATTATGAGCTTTCTGGAAGTGAATTGTCTAGTCCTAAAAGGAAACACATTTAGAAAAACAGAAAACCTGTGACACATTTTCCAGCTTGCCTTCTGAAAAGATTACATCTATTTATATGTCTACCGGCCGTAGAAGACTACTCGCTTCATATTCTTGCCAAACCAATTTTGATTGTTGTTGTTTTTCTGAGCTAGGGGTCTCTTTTGTGGCCTCCAATTTGCTAGTTTTCTACCACACCCTGGGATTGCAGCCTTGCAGTTTCTAGGCCTGGGTTAAGCTATTTATTATCAATCTCTTCCATCTTTGCCAGCTCTTAGATGAAAAATGATATTTGCTATCAATTCTTTTAAATTTTTTAGTGAAATTAATCATCTTTTTTGTTAATTAGGCTTTTGCATTTTTAAAAAACTATGTGTTAGTGATTTTTGCCCAACTTTCTATTTGATTTTTCATTTATTTATTTATGAAGTAATTTATAACATAGCAAATATATTATAAAATTATGCTTCAGCGCCCATCTTTGCTCACATCTACTCCCTTATAGGGAACCACTATGGTTAGTTTCTCATGTACTCATTAGTACCTTTTGTGTACATAAAGGAAATATGAATATATTCTCTTTTCTATATTTTTACACTCTCTAGACCTTAATACTTTTCAGAGTCCTAATTTCTTTTTTTTAAGATTTATTTATTTATTTATTATGTATACAATATTCTGTTTGTGTGTATGCCTGCAGGCCAGAAAAGGGCACCAGATCTCATTACGGATGGTTGTGAGCCACCATGTGGTTGCTGGGAATTGAACTCAGGCCCTTTGGAAGAGCAGACAATGCTCTTAACCTCTGAGCCATCTCTCCAGCCCCCTCAGAGTCCTAATTTCATAATAGCTTTTCTACTTTTCTTTTTTCAGTTATATAGAGTTTTCTCTTTAGATATGGCTTAAAATGACCCTTTGAGTAATTTTCAGTCTTAGTCACAAACAATGTTTTTATTTTCCTTGGTTTGGCTTAGCTTTTGAAAGAAAGTCTTGCTATGTAATCCAGGCTGGCCTTGAACTCAAAATCCTCCTCCCTCAGCCTACCAGGTGCTAGAATTACAGGCATGTTATACCACATCCACTTCAAACAGTGCTCTTAGATGCTGTTCCTACATCTATAGCTACACACACACACACACACACACAATCATGTGTACATTTAACTCTAAGTATATGAAAAATATATAGCCATATATGCTTGTGGTTCCTGCAGGATATCAATTTATGGCTTCTGAATTAGAGGTTCTGGATACTAACCTTGCTTACAGTGTGGCACTGGGAGCAGACTTTCCCTTTCTCTGTATGGAAAACAAAGCAGTGAGATACAGGAAAACAAGCTGTGGATATCAGACGACCTAAGTTTGATTCTAACTGTGCCCCTTACTCACCTTGAGACATTGTACAGCTGTTTAATTTCTCTGATATTTAGTTCATTCATCTATAAATGAATATGGCATCATTCACCATATATGATGGATATGAGAGTTAAATACAATTACACAAATGTTAGTTTTCTTCCTCTCTAGCTGTTATCCTGTCTCATTTACTTCTGTACCCATAGTTCTTGCTAAATGTTTACTATATAGTCTACATTCAATAATTGTATCCTGAATATTGAGGGAACAAACAGGTCAGCCAATTTTGAACTCACTTTCTGGTTCTTCTACTTGTGTTTGCCTTTTGTTGTTATTGTTGTTTGTATTTTACCTACAGGACAATACCATCAAGACCTCAAAATATAGTTTTTTTAACTTCCTGCCCATAAACCTGTTTGAACAATTCCAGAGACTCGCAAATGCTTATTTCCTTATTTTGCTGTTCCTACAGGTATGGCCTGCTAAGACATTTTCCAGTGTTTTCCTTTCTTCTCTAGGGGTCAGGCTGTATAATCAGTACCTAGACTGGAAGATAGCCTCTTTATTTTGATATTGACAAATGGATGGCTGTTCCCTAGTGTAGCAGAAGTCAGGAGTCATCAGTGTGAGGCAAGTTTCTGTATGAAGGAGACAACCCCTGGAGTCCCATGGAGAGGGAGCTCCTTCATCATGACTGTATAGCCACAGTTCAGCTTGATCATAAAAAACCAAAGGCTTTACCCAAGCTCTGGCTACAGTCCTGTTCCTCTCTCTCATCCCAGCCTCTGTGATAGGAAGTTGACACTTACCAAGGGAGAAGAATGGTACAGAATGTAAGAGAGCCAGCACAGGGAAAGGAATCCATGTAGGGTAGCCCCATGTTGAGAGAAGGGGACAGATTATCTCACCCTCCCTTGTACTGAAAATGTGGGTGAGTGCATAGTTTTCCCATGCCCACTGTTTTCAGATTATTTTAGTTATATGTATGTGTATAGGTGTTTGCCTACATGTATGTTCATGTATGCATGCCTGGTGCACACAGAAGGGGGCATCAGAAACCCTAGAATTGGAATTATAGATGGATGGTGCTGGGAGTTGAACCTGAGTCCTATAGAAGAGCATCGGAACTTTTGACCACAGAGCCATCTCCTTAGCCTTGCCATGTAAACTCTAAACACTCTACCTTCCAATACCCTCCCTTCATTATTGGAGAAGAATGACTCTCTGCCATTAGGACTAAGGCAGAGACATTCACAACATGGAAATGGCAACTTGCATCCCTTTCTTCCTCTTTTGGGAAGTGTTTACTTGGATTTGGGGATGCAGGGAAGTTAGAATGATGAAGACTAGCTATGACCTTTGGGTCTATAGTAATAAACCCAAAGAGGTGACAACGATGGTGGTGGCAGGAAATTTGGGGGAGTATGTTATTCTTAAGGATTCTGACCTAAGATCCCTCTATTTTCTTCTCAAAGTTGATTCCTCAGATCTCCTCCCTGGCATGGTATACAACTGTGATACCCCTGGTCGTGGTGCTAGCCATAACAGGAGTGAAAGATGCCATCGATGATGTGGTGAAGTAGCTTCTGGGCTTCCTTCACTAGACCTAGGAATTGGGCTGTGGGCTGAAAGACTTCCCAGAGCTTTCCTCGTGCCGAGAGCATTTCCTCGTGCCGAGAAATGCTAAATAGAAATATGTTTCTCATACTTGTTCCCTTATCTATCCCAGATAGATGTTCCACAAGCCCGTGACTCTGCTTGGTCTTTGTTTGGCCAGAAAGGGGCAGTGCAAGGCTTTTCTCTGCTCCACCACTTTTAGCCCTTCTCAGTAGCCCCACCCTTGGCCCCTTTAGCTTTGTCTGGCTTTGCTGCCTTCTTTCTTCATCTGGCTCTCCTCCCACTTCATATCCCCTCCCCCTTTCCCTCTGTCCGTTCCTTCTTTTTCCTGCTCCTTCTTTCTTTTCTCCCTCCACGTTCCCCTTCTCTCCGGTATTCTTTTTTTTTTCTTTCCAAATGCTACTTGTATTTGGCATACACGGCTAGGAGCTCTTTGGTTTTAGAATGCCCTATGGTATGATCAAAGACCCCCCTCTTTTCCTGGCCTTGGAAAGATAAACTGACCTGGGGGTAGGTTGGGAAGCTGTCCTTGTAGTGTCTTCAAAGAGGACTGATTTTTGTCAAGACAGATTATGGACCGAAGTTTAAGAGTATGGCATTTCCTACTTTTTTAACTTTGTAAAATACAGGCTTAGCACGTGTAGTGCTAAATTTTAACCACAACCCAGATAAACAAACTGAGCTATATAAACTCATTTTATCTCAGAACCACATACATACCCCTTGTACCGTCTCATTCTAGTAAGAACTGAAAACTCAACATGCCAACATAGAGCAGTCCAGCTCCGTCTGGTTCAGAACTCAGTCTCTTTAGAATAAATGTTAAGGGAACCTTGGATTGTGGAAAACTGAGTGTTCTGCCTGCCCCTTCCTAGCCCTGTCCTTCTGCAGGGAAGGACTCGCCGTGGAAGGGAGTGGTTCCTGAGTCCTGTCACTGGGGCATGTGCTATATTTGTTTTCCTGTTACCTGCGGTCTGACTATTGGCCTCTCCACTCCCCACATCTGCTGAAGATGGTTCTTTGTGCAGCTCATGGGATTCCCTAGTGCTGTCAGGCATGTGCCTGTCCTCTTAGCTTTTGACAGAGTTATTTGTTTTCAAGTTCCTGGACTTTAGGATTTTTTTTTATATTTGGCACAAAGATTGTGTGTTGCTGGTGACTTTTCTCTTTCCCGCCTTGTTCCTGCAGCTGCTTATAAAATAATCACTAAGAGACTTAATATTAATTATGATTGTTTGGCCGATGGCTCAGACTTCTTATTGGCTAGCTCTACATATAAATGAACCCATTTCTAATAATCTGTGTATTGCCACATACCCTGTGGCTTACCAGAAATGCTCTGGTATCTTACTCCTCCAGAGGCTGTTGTCATCTTCCTGACTCTGCCTTCTTTCTCTCTGTCTCCCTGCTTGGATTTCCTGCCTCACTATCTGCTGCCCTGTCATAGGCCAAAGAAGCTTCTTTATTAGCCAATGGTAATAAAACATATTCGCAGTGTACGGAGGGGCATCCCACATCAATTCTGTCTCTTTCTTTTCCCTGAGTTTTTTTTATCCTTTCCTTCCAAACTTCCATGGAGCCTGGTCTTAATGGTAGAAGGGCTTTGGCATATGGGAGAGGGGATTCACATACAAGAACCACATTTCCAAACTTTTAAATTGTACATGCAGTTTTCTATATGTCTATTTCCTGAACATTCTCTGTGTGGTTTTAGAAACGACACCAGAGTGACAAGCAAGTCAACAACCGCTCTGTTTTGATGCTGGTGGATGGCAGGTATGTTCTCTTAGGAAAGCCGGTTAGGTAGGGCCAGTCCAGGGAGAGGTCAGCATTGCTAAAATGTGATGCGGTCGGTACTTTAGGACAGTAAAAAGAGCCTCGTGTTAAACTTTAAAAGAATCTGTTTCTATTTAATTGAGGGTTTTTTTTTTTTTTGAGGTGCTGCGGATCAAATCCAAGACCTCAGGTGTGCTAGGAAAGTGCTCTAAGAATTCACCTATAGAGGTGGTCTAGCATACCCTGAACCTGCCGTATTAATTGAGATGCCTCTGGGCTTCGTTTCTATAAAATAGAATTAATATTCTCTGTCTTAGAAGATGCCTGAGAAAATAAAAAGGAAATAATATATCAAAGGAATTGACAAGCCACAGCATGAAATTAATATGCTGGCAATTGTGATCAGAGTGATTGGCCTCTAGACATTTGCCTTTAGGACATAAAGGCCTCCAGCATGGTTCGCTGGTGAGTCCACTGTAGCTGTTGGGTGGTCAGTGCGGTCTGACAGACCACAGACAGTGCCTGTGCCGACTCCACGGCTGTGCTATTTGGCGGTAAGGCTGGAATGAGGCAGACATGTTCCTACAAAAGGCAAAGTGTAAAAGCCTGTTCAAAGAGGTATGGCAAGCTACATAGAGTCACATCTGACAAACGGGATTAAGGGACACCTTCCAGGGGTGACATCTGTACCAGGTGTTAAAGACCAGTGCGAGCAGAACACGAGGAGAGAAAACACAAACCCAACGGAGTCAAGATTGAAGCCCAGCCTTTCTTTCTCACTGTGGCATTGCTGAGTTCTAAACACCTGTAGCTTTGTCAAGTCACAGTTATCCAAGCTTTGGGGCTCTGACACATCTGTTATTGTGTTGCTGATCTTAATCAGAGTGGATTGTTTCCTCCGTGATTCAAATGGCGGAAAGTTCTGGAAATACCAAATAGGTGATTTACTATAAAAAAAAAAAAAAGGTAAAGGAATGACATGGCTTTAAAAAGACAGACCTGGGTGTATTAGAAACTGACCAAGCTGGCGAATTACTGACCAAATAAATTTAGTCAGATGAACTCCTTCAAATAGCTCAAAGTACTTAGGTTGTGCAAGATTTTTAGAGAAGAATTTGTCACAGAGACAGTTTAGGAGTTATCCAGAGGCCCTGGTTAAACTTTGTAACCAGTCAGTGTCTACTTAGTTTAGAACATACAGGGAAAGCTCATCACGGAATAGCTTCTTTCAAGAAAGCAACTAGAAGGAAAGCTTGAAGATGTGGATCCGTGGCCTGTGGTCCGTGGCCAGTGCACGCAAGGCAGCCTCTGGCTAGCAAGCTGTGACTTTTATTTTGTTGGTTTAGGGTGTTTTTGTTTTTTTTTCAGACAGGGTTTCACTCCATAGTAACCTGTTCTAGAATTCACTCTGTAACCCAAACTTTCTCCAATCCATGGCAATCCTCCTGCCTCAGCCTCCCAAGTGCTGGGATTACAGGTGTGAGCCACCACTCCCTGCTCTTTTGCCACAGCCCAACAAATGAACTGACTTTACAATGAGGGGCTTATTTTAGGCTATCTTTTCACTAATGGTGTTGTCCTTTGAAGATGTCGACTTTATGAGAGGCTCTTAGTCCCGGTCCACAGCTTCTCATGATCATAAGTCTTTTCTTGCCACATTAGAGGGAGAAACTGAAACTTGGGGTAAGAGATTATTAAAATGACAATCCCTCCCCTGTCCAGAGCAAGAGCAACATCAGAGCATGCTTACTGTCCTGGATGTCACCCTTCTGCTTCCTGGCTCTTTTACTTCAAGGACAGTCTTGCTTTTGAAAGAGTGCTGGCTTTGTCTTATCCAGTGTTTCTAATATTTGCAGTGTGTAAGGTACAGGATGTTAAAGAACTCTGGGAGGTACCATTCAGTGGAGCTGTCCTCCTCTCTGTCTAATCTGGGCTCCATTTTTATTAAAATATCCAGGAATACATTTGTAATAGTTTGACAGCTCCTTATAAAATAAAATATAAACTTCAAAGTCTCCAATAGAAGGGGAATCTTATAACCCTGCTTTTCTTTCCTGTCACTTTGGTGAAAATCCTGCCTAGAGAACCCCTGAAAGTAAATGTCAAACCAAGATAAAATTTTCATTTGTCTTTTTCCACAGCTATTGTTACTCTTCAGTGCTATCAGAAAATCCTTAAAACAAAGAGTGAATTTATAGTAAATTATTTTTTCAATAAAATAAGCAAAGAGGTGGTCTTTCCGGGAATAGCTATGTCTTCGTGAGTCTGGTAAAACAGGGTTGTGTATGAGAAGCCTGCACTGAGAAATGAACTGGAGAATGACTGTGCCCTCTCTTCCCCTGATTCTTCAAAGGGACTGGCCATGTTTCCACAGTGTGCGTGTATGCATACATCTAAGCCCTTTACCAGAGAGGAGGTGACTTAGGAATCCTATTGGGAAACTGCAGAGAGAGAGAGAGAGAGAGAGAGAGAGAGAGAGAGAGAATGAGAATGTATTGTTGCTGAATCTGCTCATACTGCCAGGCTCCCTTTTCTAGGAAATGAGGATTTGAAGGGTCAAAGGTGACCCAATGAGAGAACAAAATAAAATTAGTGAAGCCACACATGGCAGAACACGTTTTAGCTGTTTAATAACAGAACGAGCCGCATCTATACGTGTCCTCTATGGGGTGTCATTGAGTGAAAAGTGAAGAATTTACTGTTTAACTTTGTTTTTTGAGACAGGGTCTCACACTATAACCCTGGCTGGCCTGGAACTCAACATGTAGACAGGCCCCCAACCCACCCAAATACTCCTGCCTCTGCCTCCCAGGTGCTGGGATTAAAAAATCTTACTTTGTAACTTTGACGTCTATGTCTTGTAGGGGATTCTATGAATTGATTTTCCTAGGAAAGGTTTTTTTTCCTATTTTTTCTTTTGATTTTGTTTTTGTTGTTGGGGTTTTTTTGGGGGGTTGTTTGTTTATGTTTTTTTTTTCAAGACAGGGTTTCTCTGTGTGTAGCTCTGGCTGTCCTAGAATTTGCTTTGTAGACCAGGCTAGCCTTGAACTCACAGAGCTCCACCTGCCTCTGCCTACTGAGTGCTGGGATTAAAGGTACGCTCCACTACCACCTGGCTTCTAGGAAAGTATTAAAAATATAGTGGCTATCTCTGAAGAACAAAGCTAAATACTGGGGAAAGAGACTTGTCAAAAGAAACAGAGCTTGTTCTTGACTGCCCAGAGGATGCAACCAAAACCTGTTGGCCCTCCCGAGATATATCTTCATCCATCTTGGCGTTTTCTGTTTCCTTTGCTTTGTTTTGTCTCGTTGTCAAAGCAGAAGGTTGGGGGAACTCACAAGGCCCATTTTCTTACAGGGTTGTGGAGCGCAAATGGATGAATGTTCAAGTTGGAGACATAATAAAGCTACAAAATAATCACCCTGTTACCGTGAGTATCTCCTCTCTCCATGAAATGAGATCAGGGAGCCCTGTAGCATTGTTGCCTCTGCCCCTCTGGGCGATCTCCAGCTGCCTCGCTTTGCAGTGAAGTCACTAGCTCCTCTGCCAAGAAGCTTATTGTCCATCTCTCATCATAGCTTCAGGTAGAATGGAGCAGCTTTGAGAGAAGGGCATGGTAGCAGCAATGGGCCACAGATAATGAGAGCAGCCGAGTCCGCAAAGTTCTTAGAGTGGACATCTATCCCTGAGGGGCTGATTTCCATCACACTGTAAGACTAGGGGCCAGCCTCCTGTGCCTCTTCTCTGGCTTTTCTGATTACAGGCAGATGTACTGTTACTTTCTAGCAGTGAGCCTTATGGTCTGACATACATTGAAACAGCAGACCTGGATGGGTAAGTGTTTTCTCCTGATATTGCATTAAGAAAATTTAGCCACTTAAAGGGCAAATATGATGGAGGGAGCTAATTTTATTCTCAGTTGAAAGTAGTAGCCTCAAAAACTTTTGGGTCTATAGAATAGTTCCTCCATTTTATTGTGCCTGCTTCTGTGGAGTACCCACCAATGTCTTTTATTTCATTTGACATTCTTAGCTGTTGGACTGGTGAAAGCTAGTGTTCTGCTAAGTCAACTTCTAAGAGGCTTTTAATTATGCTCACAAGTGTTAGCTGATGCAGAGTGGGGCAAGACATGACTGTTCCAGAAGCCAAAACTAGCTCAAGATAAATTAACTAGCCCCAGAACCTACAAAATACCAAACTCTCTACAGCAATGAAATTCCATTTGTTCTATCAGTCTCTGCAGACACAGAAACTCCTTCCAGAAATTTTTTTGTTCATAGCCAGACACAGCTTCCATTCGGGAGTTTTCATTCACAGTGCAAAATGGTGAGAGTGGTAGCAACACATTTAAAGAGCTTCCCTTGTGCCAGACCTTAGGGTTGGAGATGCTGCTGCTCAATCTGATGAATTAAATGCAATGGGTTTATTTGGGCCCAAGGGTAGCAGGGGCCAGGTGTCAGCACTGAATCACCAAAGGCAAAATGATAGCAGGTACTGAAATGGGCAAGAGAAGCAAAGAAATCTCTACAGTAGCCTGACCCATAATGGGCAGCACAGGCAAAGTGATTTTTATGGTGATAAAACTCATATGAACTCATGGTACAAGATAATCAAATCATGGTGATTCTAGGCATGAAAGACAAGGAGCCTATTGCATTTTTTGTTTGATCTGTATAAGCAGAAAAAAATCTTAAACAAATGAAAAAAAAAAGACTACATTCAATCATGGCAAGAAAAAAAAATCTCAGCCAATGAACTAATTTCCAGACTTGAGCCAGTTTGCAGACCCAGAACAAAGTGGCTATGATGGCAGAGATGGAGGTTCTGCACGGGCTTGACAACATGGACTTCTACTCTCCAGGCTGACCTGCCTACAACTGTTGCTGAGGGCCAGATCTGCCAACACAAAGCCTCAGATAGGACGCCCTTCCCCAGGGTGACCAGTCAGCTACCTGGTGGCAGGTTGACTATGTTGGACCACTTCCCTATGTGGAAAGGACAATGCTTTGACCTTACTAGAGTAGATCTTATTCTGGTTGTGGATTTGCCTTTCCTGCATGTAATGCTTCTGCCAAAACCACTATCCTTGGATTTACAGGATGCCTTATCCAGCATCATGGTATTGCTTCTGACCAAGGAACTCACTTCACATCCAGAGAAGTGTGACAGTGGTCCACGTTCATGGAATCCACTGGCTTTCTCGTGTTCCCACCATCATAAGCAGCTGGCCTGTTAGTGATGGATGGACTTTTGAAGACACAGTCACAGCACCAATTAAGTGGCAGCGGCATGGAGAGCTGGGGCAGGGCTCTCCAGAAGGCAGTGTATTCTTTGAATCAGTGTCCAGTTTATGGTATGAGTTCTTCCTGAGTCAGGATTTGTGGGTTCAGAGGTCAGTGCTAGAAAGGGGAGCATTTCCAGCCTCACGAGAACATTTTGCTTCCTGTTCCCATGACCTTCAGTTTTGCCAGCCTAAATGTTTTGGTTCCAGAATGGGGAGCACTCCTGACAGGAGCCACAACAAACATTCCATTGAACTGGAAGCTCAGATTTCTCCCTGGTCACTCTGAGCTTCTGATGCCCTTAAGCCAACAGGTTAAGATAAAGGAACAACAGTGTCAGGAGGGGTGATCGACCAGAATACCAAAGGGAAATTGGATCGCTTCTCCACATGGAGGTAAGGAAGATTATGCCTGGAGTGCTGGAGATTTTTTAGGGTGTCTCTTGGTCCTGCCATTTCCTGTGACTGAAGTTAATGGGAACTACAATAACCTAATACAGAAAGGATGACAAAGAGCACAGACCCATCAGGAAAAGAGACAACCTGCTGAGTTCTTGCTGTTGGAGAACCCAGAATGGGTAGTAGAGGAAGGTAGCTGTGAACACCAGCTAAGGCTATTTAGCCAGTTACAGAAATGAGGACTACAATCGACATGAGTTAAGAATGTAATTATATAGATATTTGTGTTTTCTTTCCTTAATTTCTTTATCATGCAATTTAACATCAATTGAGAGAATATCAGTGATTATCATAATTAAGTTTTGAGATACTAAAAGAATACTCAAGGGACATTTCCACCTATTCTAAAATCTATAATGTGTTTGCAGCTGTATGTGGAAGAGTTATGTAATGTTAGATGTAATTGTGACCTGCGTCAGCATATATGTACTAGCTGTTGTTGGTGAGATAGCTGTATTGTGTTAGGCATAATTATAAGCTGGTTAACGTTTTCATTTGTAAATGAAATATGTCGTGAGAAGACATGATTGTGTGACAGGTTTGACAAGGGGTGGATGGATTTGTCATGGCTAGTCTTGGCTGTCAACTTGACTGCATCGAGAATTAGCTATAACCCAAGCAGCTGGATACACCGGTGAGGCATTTTTCTTAACGAAATTTTTTTGAAAACAAAAACAAAAAAAAAATTATGCTGTTTTTTTGAAGTGTGAAGACCTACCTTTAATCCAGATCTTTTGAGGTGGGAAGATCCACCTTTAATCTGAGCCACATCTGGTGGCAGCCTACATAAAGGACATGGACCTTTTCCTGCTTACCCGCATTCTCAGTTTACTAGTATTCGCGCCCACTTATTTGGGATTCCAGTGTATACTGAAGATCAACTAACCCAGTCAGCCTCCTGCTCTTGACTCTTGGACTTTCCACTGGGAAACAGCCATATAGCTGAACTATAGTCTGTAGGCCACTCTAATAAATTGGCTTCACACACATATATACATATATATGTATATATATTGTGTATATATGTATTGTGTATACATATATATATGTCTGCCAGTTCTAGTCCTCTAAAGAGCCCTGACTAATCCCAAAAACCAAAAGTTTTTGAAGTCTATAGTTGTTACTATCTCTGTGCGTTCTTGTATCCAAAAATGGTTAACTGTGATCTTTCCATGGACCCTGTAAATATTTTTGAACCCAGAACTATGTTTCCTCCAAGGTATGAGCAAGTTCTCACCAGAACCTGCTCCATCTTCCCGAAGGGAGCAGATGCTTGCCACTCCCTAACATTCCTAACTGCTACTTCTAGTGTTGGTTAAAGTAGTGGCGGTACGTTGTGCAGGGTCTGAGGGGCGGGTTCCTTACAGTTATCGCTCCTCCATACTGCCATGAGAACCAGGTGTAACTAGTGTGAGGCACTCTCTTCAAACCCTTAGCCTGCATTCTGCTGGCAACATTTATTTTCTAAAAACCCAGCGAAGTAGCACAAGCTGGTCCTGTGCTATTGTTGTGTTTATGTCTCATGCATTTGATGAACCTTTACTCTAGTGAAACCAACCTGAAAGTGAAGCAGGCCATTTCAGTTACCTGTGAGATGGAGGATAACCTGAAGCTGCTGTCTGCCTTTGATGGTGAGTCAGGAAATGAGTGGGCTCCTCACCCAAACGTTCATCACCAGAGGACTAAATAAAGAACGGTACATCCATGCAGGAATTCTATACAGCTCATTTTAAACAATATGCAAGGTGACAGATAGTCCTTGACACGGAAGAAAACTTACACAACATAATAGGAGAAACATATAGATTACAAAAGCCAGCATGTACACATAATGTTAAACATATTTGGGGTGAGACTGGAGAGATGGCTCAGCCCTTCCAGAAGTCCTAAGTTCAATTCCCCGCAACCACACGGTGTCTCACAACCATCCATAATGAGATCTGGTGCCCTCTTCTAGCCTGAAGGCATACATGCAGGCAGAACATTGTATGCATAATAAATAAACCTTAAAAACAAACAAACAGGTTGGAGAGATGGCTCAGCGGTTAAGAGCATTGCCTGCTCTTCCAAAGGTCCTGAGTTCAATTCCCAGCAACCACATGGTGGCTCACAACCATCTGTAATGAGGTCTGGTGCCCTCTTCTGGCCTGCAGACATACACACGGACAGAATATTGTATACATAATAAATAAATAATTTAAAACAAACAAACAAAAGATGCGTTGGGGAAACATGCACAGACTAGAAAGCTTACAGGATGTAATTCAAAGGCTACTAGCCTTTTCTCTAAACAATAAGTAGACTGCAGTGTTTTCCAAAAGCCTTTAATCCCAGCCCTCTGGAGACAGAGGCCAACAATCTCTGAGCTTAGAGCCAGCCTGGTCTACATAATGAGTTCCAGGCTAGCCAGGGATGTGTAGTAGGTCCTGTCTCAAAAACGTTTCTTGGTCATTTTAGCATGTTATAAATATTTACAAAGGAGATCCAGCAAGATGGCTCAGAGAATAAAGGCACCTTCTCCCAAGCCTGGACCCAGATGGTGGAAGGAGAGAGCGGCTCTCACATGCTGTCCTCTGGTCTCCACACACGCACCATTACATACGTCCCCCCTCTTATGTGCAAAGTAAATAAATAAAGCCAGTAAACATTTAAAAATATTTACAAAGGATATGTGTATTAATCAGGAAGAAATCAACTATTTCTATTTTGAGAAAAAATAGTGGTTCCCTTTAGAGTAATATTTTCATTTCTTCAGCTTCACTGATACTGACTAACCTGGCAGTACTAATATTGATTAGTACCCTGTGGTGGTTTCTCTCGGTGCTCTATAGCAATACGGAATTGTTGTTTTGTTTGGGTTAGTGCCCTGAAATATTTTTGTGCTTTCTAAAGGAATTGAGTGCAGGAGGGGGAGTAGCTGAGAAAAAAAATGAATAAAAAAAATATGTTGTTGTGTTACATGTTGTATGGTGTTTCCTGCTTTTCTGCTGAGCATTCCACGAAGGTTACAGAGCTAGCACCCCTCTTACTTTCCTTATCTGCAGGAGAAGTTCGGTGCGAGCCCCCCAATAACAAGCTGGACAAGTTTTCCGGAATCCTGACCTATCTGGGGTACACCTACTTCCTGGACCATGACAGGCTTCTGCTCCGGGGCTGCATCATCAGGAACACAGACTGGTGTTATGGTTTGGTGATTTATACTGGTATGCTTCCTGCAGCTAGAGCCAGACCCCACCCGTTAGAGCCTGCTCACCACCCAGTTATGATTCGGATATAATATTCAAACATGTATCAGAAGAGTAGCTTAGTGCTGGGTTGATGCTAGGCTAACAAGTGCCTGGAGAAGAAGTTGAGGGGGAAAGTGACTTTGTTCCAGGCAATGTGCTTTAAACATATCAGCTCCTTCTTTCTTAGAGAACGGCTTTGTGTTTCAACACCATAAGGCATTCATGGGTTTTCCCAACCATACATGGACACAGGAGAGGGTGTTCATATAGAGAAAGTACAACAGAATTAGCATGTGAATGTAAGATTACACAGAGATTACACCCATAAAAAGGGAATATAGACAGTGCTCATTATGCAAAATAATAGAAAATATATCATGGAGACTTCATAAAAGGGAAAAGCACCATGTTACTGGCCCGTATTGAGATGTCATTTAGAATCACGACCCACAATATGTAGTGAGAGATTTTCTTGGTTCATGGCATGGCTGGGAAAGAGCCTCTGCTGCACTCTGCACCCTTAGTGGCAACAGACACTGATAGCTTTGTTCCTTTTCTATCCCCGTGATAAACTATCTTAGGTTAACTCTTTAGGACAAAAGACTTAATTTTTGCTCAGTTTCCTAGGTGTTAGTCCATGGTTGCTTGACCCTATAGCATGGGACTGTAGCAAGGCCATATGTCACAGTGAGAACACACGCTGGACACAGCTGCTCATGTCCTGCTAGCGGAGATGCAGAGGAACGCTAGGAGGGGCCCTCAGGACCATGCCCCTAATAACCTTCCCTTTAAGTTCCTACTACCTCAATAGCGCCATCTGTTGGACACCAAGCTTTCAACAAATGAGCTCTTGGGACATAATTGAAATGTAGGCTTTAACACAACCATAACCACAGTAGGAAGAATCGAGAAAGATTTAGCGTAGAGAAAATTAATAAACTTGGATTTCTGGAGGTCTTTTCTACAGCATCCACTCTTAAACATGAGACTTAGTTCTCCTTCTGTGGAAAATAAGACAAATACCTTCTGGAGAAGATGAAGAATCCAAGGAAGCCCTGGTAGAACTTGTTTTTGGTTCTTGATGTGGAATGGCAACTTCTAAACTGCTCAGTTTCCACCTCAAATGATGTAAAGTAGACTTCCTTCCTTCACTGCATCAGCAGCTACGCACACATAGGAAAACCGCTCCTAGATAGTCCATTTGTTCAGCGGCAGGTTTCCCCCAAAGCCATTGTAACAATAGTGATGCCCTTTGGGGAGCTCTGTGCAGGGTCTCGTGGTGCAGACCTAGTCCTAGGCACTCGGTGCAGACCTGCGTCACTGTTGTGTGTACGGTGCTGCCACCATCTTTACCTCCCTCTTGAAAGCCAGTCTTTCTGCAGTCCTTGGGAGATGTGATCCCTCCACTGCCTCGAACTCTCAAAGACCCAAACCTGTGGAGGATAGAATGCTGCAGCCCATGCTCTGTGTTCCCGGTGTTTGCCCACAAACCAGAAAACCCAGCTACCCCACATGCGCACATCTGTGGCACCCCTGCATTAGTGACACATTTGGCCACTGGTCAGAGGCCAAAAGGCCGGAGAAATCACTACTTACACTTCCTTTCTAAACCCCCTTATGAACTTTTCTCTCACACTGCTACCAATGTCTCTGACCAGTAGTTTGCAAGTCAGGTCCATGCCATTCAAGGCTCCTTTGCTCACTGTCTGTGAGGAAAAGGAACATGGCATCTATGTTTCTCAGCCACAGAGAAGTCTCAGCTCCCAAGCCTCTACTCCAGAAAGAAATCGCTGTCATCACCACTTCCTTTCTTCCGTTCTCAGGAACTTTGAATGTGGCCTGACTCAGCAATGGGTTTCCTCAAAAGAAAGCAGAGTGTCTCCTATCAGAAAATTCCTCCCCTTAGCCAAATAAGCCAGGTGGGGACAAGGACACCCAGGTGACTCCTGTTCTGACTTAGGGAGAATCCAGATGGGAGGTGCTGGTAAGAGAGGAGTCAGTGCGGACACTTAGTAAGGAAACATGGTCCTTTCTGTGTATCGCTGATTGGATTTACATAAGAGCTTAGAATAAGTGAACATAAAGGCATACGCCAACACGATTTGAAGCTCTGAGTATATTCAGTGATTCTAAGATATGGAATTCTCCCTGTTTTGCTTAGGGCCAGACACCAAATTAATGCAGAACAGCGGAAGGTCCACCTTCAAACGAACACACATAGACCGCCTCATGAATGTCCTTGTGGTCTGGGTGAGTGAAACACTTTCCCCTGTGTCTTTGCATAGACATATGTCCACAGCAGTAGCTGGCACTTCCAAATCAGAATATAGTTGTTTGAAGTCATGAGAAGTTTAATGACCCCACAAGCTAAGGTGTGAGCCAGGAAAGAACAGACTCAATGTAGAGTATGATCTAGGTTATGCCTTCTATTCAAGATAATGACAATTGAGAAACTGTTGCTTTTGGTAATGGGACCAGAGCGAACCTAGGACCCTACTTTAGAAGTAAAGATGCTTTTTCATGTCAGTTTTGATCATTACTTTAGTAACCTATCACATAGACTAATGGTACACCTTATTTAAACTGGACGTTTTAAAGCTGTATTCCTCAAAGGAGTCTTAAGGCTGCTGCAGAGGCAGGAGAAGATCTGGTAGCGTTTGCTCTGGCCTTACCTGAGTTCCTGCTTCAAGTAGAGCAACTTCTCATTATGCTGTTTTATAACATTTCAATTGGAAGAATAGGGCTTCTTCTGCTAAAAAAAAAATTAATAAATCACTAATAAAGAGATCATGAGAAAGGGAAATGTACCACATTTTCCTTATTCATTCTTTGATCGAGGGGTATTTAGGTTGTTTCCAGGTTCTGGTTATGACAAACAATGCTGCTATGAACATAGTTGAGCACATGTCCTTATGGCATGATTGAGCATCCTTTGGATATATACATAAAAGTGGTATTGCTGCGTCTTGAGAAAGGTTTTTTCCTAATTTTCTGAGAAACTGCCATACTGACATCCAAAGGGGCTGTACCAGCTTGCATTCCCACCAGCAATGCAGAAGTATTCCCTTTTCCCCACAACCTCTCCAGCATAAGTTGTCATCAGTGTTTTTGATCTTGACCATTCTTATAGGTGTAAGATGGAATCTCAGAGTTGTTTTGATTTGCATTTCTCTGATGACTAAGAATGTTGAACATTTCCTTAAGTGACTTTCAGCCATTTTAGATTCCTCTGTTGAAAGTTCTCTGTTTAGGTCTGTACTCCATTTCTTTATTGGATTATGTGATCTTTTGGTGTCCAATTTCTTGAGTTCTTTGTATATTTTAGAGATCAGACCTCTGTCTGATGTGGGATTAGTGAAGATCTTTTCCCATCCTGTAAGCTGTTGTTTTGTCTTGTTGACTGTGTCCTTTGCTTTACAAAAGCTTTTCAGTTTCAGGAGGTCCCATTTATTAATTGTTTCTCTCAGTGTCTGTGTTGCTGGGGTTATGTTTAGGAAGTGTTCAAGTGTATTTCCCACTTTCTCTTCTATAAGGTTCAGTGTGGCTGGCTTTATGTTGAGGTCTTTGGTAAATTTGGACTTGAGTTTTGTGCATGGTGATAGATATGGATATATTTTCATTCTTCTGTATGTTGATGTCCAGTTATGCCAGCACCACTTGTTAAATGTTTTCTTTTTTCCATTTAATATTTTTTTTTTGCTTCTTTGTAAAAAATCACGTGTTCAAAGATGTGTAGATTGATATCCGGATCTTCTATTCAGTTCCATTGGTCCTCCTGTCTGTTCTTATGCCAATACCCAGCTGTTTTCAGTACTGTAGCTCTGTAGTAGTTTGAAGTCAGGGATTGTGATGCCTCCAGAAGTTCTTTTATTGTACAGGGGTGTTTTGGCTATCCGGGTTTTTTTGCTTTTCCATATGAAGTGGAGTACTGTTCTGTCAAGGTCTTTAAAGAATTTTGCTGGGATTTTGACAGGCATTGCGTTGAATCTGTAGATTGCTTTTGGTAAGCCATTTTTACTATGTTAATTCTGCCTACCCAAGAGCATGGGAGATCTTTCCACTTTCTGATGTCTTCTTCAATTTCTTTCTTCAAACATTTAAAGTTCTTGTAATACAAGTCTTCTACTTGTTTGGTTAGAGTTACTCTGAGATATTTTATGCTATTTGTGGCTATTGTGAAAGGTGTTGATTCTCTGATTTCTTCCTCCACCCTTTTATCATCTGTGTACAGGAGGGCGACTGATTTTTTTGAGTTAATCTTGTATCCTGCTACATTACTGAAAGTGTTTATGAGTTGTAGAAGTTCCTTGGTAGAATTTTTGGAATCGTTTATGTAAACTATCATATCATCAGCAAACAGTGAGAGTTTGACTTCTTCCTTTCCAATTTGTATCCCCTTGATTTCTTTTTGTATCTGTGGGAAGAAGCCAACTTGATCATGGTGGATGGTGGTTCTGATGTGTTTTTGGATTCGATTTGCCAGTATTTTATTAAGTATTTTTGCATCAATGTTCATGAGTGAAATTGGTCTTTAATTCTCTTTCTTAGTAATGTCTTTCTGTAGTTTGGGTTTCAAGGTAATTGTAGCCTCATAAAAAGGGTTTAGCAATGTTCCTTCTGCTTCTATTGTGTGGAATAATTTGAGTACTAATAATTTGGTATTAGTTCTTTGAAAGTCATGTAGAATTCTGAGCTGAAACTATCTGGTCCTGGGCTTTCTTTTGGTTGGGAGACTTTTGATGACTGTTTCTATTTCTTCAGCAGTTATAGGTCTGCTTAATTTGCTTATCTGGTCTTGATTTAATTTTGGTAAGTGATATTTTTCCAAAAAGTTGTCCATTTCCTTTAAGTTTTCCAATTTTGTGAGGTACAGGTATTCAAAATATGACGTGATGATTCTCTGTATTTCCTCCATGACTGTTGTTATGTCCCCTTTTCATTTCTGATTTTGTTAATTTGGATATTTTCTCTCTGCCTTTTGATTAGTTTGGATAAATGTTCGTCCATTTTGTTGATTTTCTCGAAGAACCAGCTCTTTGTCTCATTGATTCTTTTTATTGTTTTCTTTGTTTCTATTTTGTTGATTTCAACTCTCAATTTGATTATTTCCTGCTGTCTAGTTCTCATAGTTGAGTTTGCTTCTTTTTGTTCTAAAGTTTTCAAATGTTCTGTTAATTCACTAGTGTGGGATTTTTCCAATTCTTTATGTGGGTGTTTAGTGCTATGAACTTTCCTCTTAACACTGCTTTTATTGTGTCCCATAAATTTGGGTATGTTGTGTGGTCATTTTCATTGAATTTTAGGAAGTCTTTAATTTCTCCCTTTATTTCTTCCTTGACTCATTGATAATTCAGGTGAGCATTGTTTAATTTCCATGTGTTTGTGGGTTTTTTGGAATTAGTATTGCTGTTGATTTCTAGTTTTAAACCATGTGATCTGATAAGGTACGTTGGGTTATTCCAGTTTTTTATATGTGTTGAGGTTTGTTTTGTTACCAAGTATGTGGTCAATTTTTGAGAAGGTTCCATGAGGTGCTGAGAAGAAGGCATATTCTTTTCTGTTTGGATGGAATATTTTATAGATGTCTGTTAAGTCCATTTGAGTCATAACATTTGTTAGTTCTCTTATTTCTCTGTTCATTTTTT